ATATATTGCTCATTACCCACAGTGCAGTTGAAATGGAAATTCAGAGTTTAAAAAGTGTATAGTACAATTATTCAATGAAAAGTACTTTTTGAGAAGCCAGGCACAGTGGTGCACATCTATAATCCCAGATACTTGGGAGGCTGAGGCAGGAGGATCACAAGTTCAAGGCTAGCCTGAGCAACTTAGTGAGACCTTGTCTCAAAATAAATTTTAAAAATGCTGAGGATGTAGCTTAGCAGTAGAGCACCCTTGCTTGGTTTGATCCCCAATAGCACAAAAAAAAGTTGAGAAAGGCAAGCATGGTCTGTTCTTCAAAGTGAGTGAAGCTTGAAAACATATGTGAAGCAATGGCTTAAAAGTAACTTATGTATTTAAATATGTCACTTTTCTACTTAAAATAATTAAGTTTGTATGTTTCAGAATCAACATTTTCCCAGCTCTCCATATAAATTGTATAAAAATAAGGGCCGGCCAAATAGCTCAGGAGATTAAAGTGCCTGCTTAGGCAGATGCAGAACCCTGGGTGTGCTGTTCCAGCTCCACCCCTGGGACTGGACGCTGAGATGTTGATTGAGACTGGGCGTGGTGGCTCGGGCCTGTAATCCCAGCACTTGGGAGGCAGTAAACAGGAGGATCACTGCGAATCTACATAATGAGGCCCTGTAGACCCTGTCCTAAATATAGAAAAAAAAGGCCAAGTGTGGTAGTACAATTTATAATCCCGGTACTATGGGAAGCTGAGGGAAGAGCCCAGCCTGGGCAATTTAGCAAGACACCCAGCCTGGGCAACTTAGCAAGATGCTTTCTCAAAATAAAAAATAAAACAGGAATGGGTTTGTAGCTCAGTGCAAAGACCCTGGGTTTGATCCCTAGTACCATGTCTACCCATAGTTCAGTTCAATGTTGGCAGCAGTTTTTGAGTACTTGCTGTGATATAGCTGGATGATTAAAAAGTAGACTTCAGGGCTGGGGAGATGGCTCAGTGGAATAAGCGCTTCCCTGGCAAGCGCAAGGGCCTGAGTTCAATCCCCGGTTCCGCCAGAAAAAAAAAAAACAACCAACAACAACAGAAAAGTAGACTTTAGACCTGGTGGTGCAACCTATAATCCCATCACTCAGAGAAGCAGAGGCAGGAGGATTGCCATGAGTTCAAGGCCAATGTGGTGAGTTTAAGGCCAGCCTGAACTACGTGGCCAGACACTTTCTAAAAGAGGAAAAAAAAAAAAAGAACAGAAAACAAAATAGGTAGACTTCATCCCTGGTTTTGAAGACAAGACTGATAGATATTATATAATACAGTCTTAGACCTCCAGGTTAGAGAAGAGGAACTTGAGATGTAGACTCTGGTCACTCGGTGGTGTGGGAGTCTTTTAACTCCTAATTCTACACTCTGGCTCCATTAAATTGTACTTGTTACCATATTTTCCTTTTACTACAAGATGTTACCTTTTCACTTTTGTTTGATAATGAATTGTCATTCCTCTTATATTTCTAAATAGTTTTAGAGTTCTATGTAAAGGTTTCACAGCAACCTGTAATGAGCGCATCTGTCATCTCTGTGCTCAACCTTGATAGGAGCCAAATAGCTTCATCACCAAGAGGATTTGGGGCCTACAGCTGTATTTCATCAGGAATATGACTGATTTATAAATCTCTAACCAGCCGTTCTTCTATAAAGCTATTCTTTAACATGCAGTTTGCTGTTTCAAGACTAACTTTTGAGTTTTCTTAAACAAACTAGTCTCTAAGAGGTTTCATTTCTGCCTACTTACTGCCATACCAAGATTGAATCCAGTGCCCTCACACTGCACTTCATCACTAGTGCTTAGTTTTTATTTTGAGGCAGTCTTTGTAAGTCACTAAGTTCCCCAGTCTGGTCTCCAACTTAACAGTCCTCTTGCCTCAGCCTCCCAGAGTGTCATTTATTATTCTAAATGGATTCTTTTCTTTTTTTTTTTTATTTAAAGTTTATATTCTCACCAGGTATATAGCCTAGTGGTACAGTGCCTGCCATGAAGTGCAAGGTCCTGAGTTCAATTCCTGGTACCAAAAATCCCACATTTGTATTGCTGGGTGAGGTGGTGCACTCCTCTAATATCAGCACTCAGGAGGCTGAGGCAGGAGGGTCACTGTGAGTTTGTGATTAGCTTTGGCTACAAAGTGAGTTGAAGGGCTGGCGAGACATCTCAGTGGACTAATGCACCTGCTTAAGCAAGCTTAGGAAAGTGCAGGGACCACGGTTTGATCCTGGCACCACATTGCCTTGCCAGCCCTGACCCCAGGGCAGGCTGAGCCAGCCACAAAAAAAAAAAAAAGAAAAAGAGAATTCAAGGCCAGTCTGAAATGTTAAGTGAAATCCTGTCTCAAAAACAAAAAAAGGTTATATTGAATTACCACATTCTATTTCATAAATATATACAATTTATTATTTGTCTATTAAAAAGAAAAAAATTGGAAAATTCACTATGCTTTTTTTTTTTTTTAATTTTTTGTTTTTGTTTTTTCTTGTGTAGTTCAGGCTGGCCTTGATCTCACTCTGTAATCCAGGCTGACCTCAAATGGGCAGCAGTTCTCCTGTCTCAGCCCCACAGCTGGGATTACAGGCATGTGACACCACAGCGGCCTATTTTCTTTAGATTTCAGCGTCATATTCTCTTTTCCTTTACACTTCAGCTTTTTTGAACTTCTGTTGTTATTCTGAAAGAAAAGAAGATCACTGAAGAGATTTTTTTTCCCCCCTTCTAGCCTGTGGTCAGCTGTTAGATGAGGCACAAGTGACTTTATCCTTCCAAGATTGGCTGGCCAGTGTCACCGAGCGAATCCATCAAACCATGCACTACCAGTTTGATGGTAAGTGTTGATCATCTAACTGGGTTCTTGCTCAAAGTAGAAAAATTAATTACACCTCAGAACTACTCTTTTGATAAGTAAAAAAAAGTAAAGGGACTTCAATCCAGAGAACATTGGGTCACTAGAAACTAGAAGGTAGGGGGCCGGGGAGATGGCTCAGTAGAATAAGCACTTGCCTGGTATGCGCAAGGGCCTGAGTTCAATCCCTGGTACTGCAAAAAAAAAAAAA